GAGCGGGCGGCGGCCCACGCTGTGCGCCAGGCGGGAGGGAAGAAAGTTGGGAGCCGAGGAGTTTTCTTTCCCTTTCTTCTGGCCCCGGCGAGGCTGTCTTCGGTGATTTCCGGGTTTCGGGACGGAGCCTCCTGCCTTCACCGATCGATCTGATCGAGTCCCAGATTGCTGGCAGCGCCTCTTTTTTTCCCGCGGCTTCCCCGCTGCCCGCCGCCCCGCATCCCCTGCGTGAGATTCGCCGCGAGCAGGTAATGGCTGCGATCGGTCGGGAACATTTTCCCCCCCCTCGCGTCTCTGTGGGAGGGGGCACGGCCCAGATCGAGAGGGGTCTCTCTCGTGGCACCTTCAGGACTAGCAGCTTGCTCTTGGCACGGGTCGCTGTAAGCTCCAAGTCACACGGGAGGACTAGAGGGGTCCCACCCAGGCGCGTTGTTGTGTGGTGTGGTGTTGTGTTGTGTTGTCTCACATACCTGACTTACGCGGCTTTCCCTCTGGAATGCTCCCCGTCGGTTTTGCTTGACCTACAATCCGGTAGAGGTGGAAGGGGCCGTATTGAAAAGAATCAACACACAGAGTATAACCTTTGGAGTGCAGCAGCGTTACTATTTCTTGAGAAACGACATAAATAGCCCCTGGTTCGTTACCTCGGGGGTGGGGGATTCTTTTGTGACCTCTGAAGGAAGCGCGACTAAATTGCCCAATGCTTATTGACAAGTAATCCTGGAATGTATGCATCCCTTCAACTACTTTTGTCTGTATTGATTGTGTTGCTTCCCTCGTCCAGAAAAGGAAGGGTGCTCGTGATGACTCCCTATGTTTTTTTTAAAAAAATTATAGGCTCTCTAGCAAAGCCCTCTTGAACCTTTTGTCTCCATTTATTTCCTTCTTGGGTATAACTCTTGTGATCTAACCGGCAGAACCATATGGTGGTAGTTCCATACTGGGGGTGGGGTGGGAATCCACACACCTTCCGTTGTTGAATTTCAGTCTGTTTTTCTGCTGCAACTGCTGTCTTCTCAGTTTTGAAGAGCAGCCAGACCCATGAAAATGTGGCAGCTGCTGCTTTTCCTGAGATGGCGATAGAAGGTGTGAGAAAGGTGTCACCTGTTGACTTCAGTGTGTCTTAGCCTACTCTTAAAAGTGTAAAGGCTACAGTAGGGGTGTTTGTTTTTTATTCCCTGTGACAACCCAGGTATGTTGGCATGTGGGATCAATTATTCCTTAATGTTGACACATTACTCCCCTGTAAGCAGCTCCTTGGCAGGCAGAAATTATATAGGAGTGGCTTCACTTCATCACCGCATCTTTGGCCAGAAACAGATGTTAGAGATAGCTCGTGACTGGAGGAGGAAATTTCTTAACTAATGTAAGCCTCTGAGTGCCACAGCTAGCTTTTGTCACCTCTGTCACCAATTAGCTTGCTTTGTTTGGTGATTTGTCTTAAGGCGATAAGCACGAGAGTCCTCTGAAGTCTGATTTCACAAACTGTGGAAAGACTGCCTCAACCACCTTTCCGCAATGTTAACAGGTGTTCAACTCAAGTTCCAGGTTATCGCTGTTTCTGGCTTCTGAGGTGGGTAGTCTTGTTACACTTTTGCTAGTTATACAGCTCTGAAGGGCACTGGAGGGAAAAAAAAACCAACAACAAAGGAAAATGTATGGTTTCCGTGACACAGGCATCCCTTCAGTAATTTCCAGAGGATTAGCCATGTTTAGTTCATAGAAGGCAATAATAAATGAGAAGTCCAAGAACGGTATAATTTGTAATTGTCCTAACAGCTGCAGCATTGTAGAGGGAAGATCCCATGTTCATCTCCAGGTAGAACTATGAAAGAACCCTGCACGTGGATAAGGGATGGGCTGATTTGCACCTTTTTTGGGTGACCATATGATGTACTTTTGTTGTTTAGTCATTAAGTCGTGTCCAACTTTTTGTGACCCCATGGACCAGAGCCCGCCAGGCCGTCCTGTCTTCCACTGCCTCCCGGAGTTGGGTCAAATTCATGTTGGTCGCTTCAATGACGCTGTCCAACCATCTCGTCCTCTGTCGTCTCCTTCTCCTCTTGCCTTCACACTTTCCCAACATCAGGGATTTTTCCAGGGAGTCTTCTCTTCTCATGAAATGGCCAAAGTACTGGAGCCTCAGCTTCAGGATCTGTCCTTCCAGTGAGCACTCAGGGTTGATTTCCTTTAGAATTGATAGTTTTGTTCTCCTTGCAGTCCAGGGGACTCTCAAGAGTCTCCTCCAGCACCCCAATTCAAAAGCATCAATTCTTGGCATTTGCAAACCAGCCCAGCCCTGCCCTGACTGATGCCCACACTCATACCTTTTTTGAGTCCCTGTTGGGGGCTACTGGTTTGTATGTTTGGTTTCTTTTGAGGGTGCTGGTAGAGTCGGTCTGTTGGGTTTCCAGCATGTGTGATCAATAGTGTCAAACCAAAGTGACACTAGTAGGAGTTTCCCCCCCAACAATTCAGTGCTTTGTCAATGTGAGTGGCAAGCCAATGCAGTGATATGTCACCTACCAATAAATGGGGAGGGGAAGGATCCAATTTTCTCTTGTTCCCTGCAGAAGGGGTGAGAGGGGAGGACATGGAGGCTGATCTCTCCCCCCCTTTACAAGCCAATGTCATCATTCACAAGGCGATGCAGTGATATGTCACTTACCAACAAATGAAGTGAGGGGAAGGGAATACAGCTTTCCTCCACTCCTCATGAATGGAGAAACAGAAGGGAATTGGGGCCATGGGGGCTCAGAGGGAGGAACAGCTAAATATCAGGTTTGCTTCGAGGTGCAGTGTGACTTATACCGATACCATCTGATTCTTGCATGTGGATGCACAATCCACTGAGAGAAGTGGATTTTGATTCATGAAAGCTCACACTGAAATAAAGCTGTTAGTCTTTCAAGTGCTACAATATTTTGTCTTTTTTTCTTTTCCATTTGCCAACTTCATGACAGAAGATGTCTTTTGTGTAAGTGTTATTTTTGAAGATTAGTTCTAAACATGTTTATTGAGAGTAAGGCTCCACATGGCTGAAGAAGTGTATGGTAATCCATGAAAACATGCAGTAAAATACACTTTTTTTGTCTTAAAAGTGCAGCAGTACCTTTTTGTGTGTGAAAAAGATTAATGCTGCTACCTCTATGAAAGAATCTAAGGAATGAGTCCATTCAGCTCAATACTATGGATCTGAAAGTTGAAGAATGGGATAGAAATTTTAAAAAAGTTATTTATTTATCCAGTGACATTTGCTTCCTGGAAAATGTGCGTAGAACTCGAGCTCTCATTGAACTGCAAATAGCATTCAGGCACCCTTCCAATTCAAAGTTCAGTGTACCTAAGCCCATTGGCTTCAATGGACTTGAACAAGATTTAACTTTGGGTTGTAGTTGCCTTGATTCCCAGGTAAAGCACTTTGGAGGCAAATGTAAAAAGTATGGAAGACTCATTTCCTTGAGCATCCCAGGGCCCTGAAGGGAGCATTTGAAACAATGTGCACATTCAGGAGGAAACATATTACTTGACGAATACAGTTGTAATGATTATAATGGAATAATGGACTCTTAGTATTTCAAAGTGCAGGTTTTATTCTTTCTACAGGTGTCTCATCCTAGGCTCTGCAGAAATTAGCTGTTTAAAATCATCCTTGGCTCTATACAGAATCTGGTGGCACTCATCACCACCCTTCCTCCCCCCAGCTCAAAACATGTGTGCATAGCCCTAGTCAGACATCCAAGTATTTTAAGTAGAGAAAATGGTCTATGTGCCACCCCCCTGCCATTTTCCTCATATAGTGAGTGACAGTCTGAAGTGGGAATAAAGTTCAAGACTGGGAAATACCTTTATTGCATCACTGAAAAGTTTCAAATGATATGAGCTTTCAAGTTTCCCAGTGCTCTTCATCAGGCCAAGATGGTAGAAAACCTGGGGTTAAAGGAAACTTCCTTCAGTGGAGGTTGGACAGCCACCAGTAATGGTTGCTTTTGATGGCAGATTGCTTGGCTTTGCAGAGATCTGGGCTTGATAACCTATGGAGTCTCTTCTAGCTCTACAGTTCTGTGATTATAATGAATATCCAGCCCTACAATTCCATAATTCTAATGTATCTATTGTTGACATACTTATAAATGATTGATAAAGAAGGAAAAGGTGATAGTACAGAACCTCTCAGAAAAAATGTCACAATGTGGCATAATTAGCAAGTCACTATCTTTTTGATAATTTAGTTGCTAGAGAGAGACTTTATGGCCTTTTAATATCTTTGAGATATGAAAGTGATAGTGTTAGTTTTGCTGCTGTGAATAATGGTGGCTTGTTTGCTAAACTGGTTCAAGTGAGACCATATACAAAATTTGGTTGGGCTCAATCAGTCTAAAGAGTGCAGAGTGTAAATTTTTACAGAGGAGAGACCAGCTTCTTAGCTTGATTAACTGTGTGTTTCATTGTTGCCTGATAAGAAAGCACCAATTTTGCTTTTGCTTTAATAACTGAATACCTGAAGGCTAAGAATAAATATGCTACAAAGAAAGGCACATCTGGCAAGTTCTTCTTTATTTCCTGAGAGTGGCAGCATGTGATTGGGAAAGTCTAAGAGAGAGGTGATGCTTTTAGGAACAGCAGAGAATCTTAGCCTGTGAAACAAAGCCACTCCCTCTCATGTTTTAAGGCTTAGCTCTGACCAGTAGTGAGTTGCTTGGTAGATCTGTTCTTGGACTGTACCCCTGCATGGCTGAATGCTTCTTCAGACATTAAACAGCAACAGGAAACTGTATGTGAGTGGAGGAGGGTGGTCTTTCTTCATCTTAATCTTAATTCTGGCAAGTTGCATGTGGAGACTTTCCCAGGTAACATTCCCATATATGCTGCAAGAAATGTCAGAGCTCCATAATAATAGTTTCACCACATGATCGATATGTTGAGGCTGGACTTCAGGTACATTTTGGGAAGGGAGAGAGAGAAAGAATAAGGAAATGTCAGACCAGTCAAGTGTGCGCTTGATGCCCTGAACTTGAGGCACAACTTCAAAGATCTAAAATGGGCAGTTGAGAATGTTCTTTCTGCCCCATTAAATACGTCTTATCTCGTTGCAGTGTCAATCCTGTGAGTTCTGGGTGGGTCCTAGAACGTTCCCTTTGTGTGTGCCATGCATTTCCATTATGTGATTCTGTGCAGCAAAGATAAAATCAGCTCAATTCTGGTCCACATGAACCCCAACTGATTGTACTTGAAGCGTACCATAACAATTGTGCAGTTACAATGGACAGTGGCCCATGACAGGAGATCTTTGGTATGATGTGTGCTCTATTGTGCACATGACATTCCCCAGCACACTTTCAAGGAGTTGCCCGTTCCAACGAAGTATACACGAGTCCCTTGTACACATTTTGAGTCCAAGATCAGTGCACACATGGCTGGCAATAGGCATGAACTCTATTCATTCACCTCAGACAATAGGTATTGGGATGTGGCAGGAGGGTGTTGGAGGAGAGGTGGCTTGCCTTGCACTATCCTGATGCCAGTGGAGGACCCTGCTCCACCACCAGTGATCCAGAAAGATGAAACTGCCAGCCTAGTTGGCCTCTGTATATTGAGCAGAAGAGGAGCCATCTTGCTGTTTGCTTCGATCAGCAGAGTGTTTTGGGTCAGCCCTAGTTCTGTCGTAAACAACTAGCATGGGAGTATACTCAAACTTTTCTCATTTCATTTTGTCCAATTTGGGTTCTCCTTTATTTCGGCTTGTTTAATCAGCCAATTATGGTCATTGATCTTCTGGTGCTTAGTGTTTGTGGCAGCTGTTCTTGATTTGCCACTTATCGTAGCTGTGTTTCCCTTCCCCTGAGAAGGCCTCAACGTGAATTACTGGTGTGGGGAGGATTATGTAATAACATCCCTTCTGTGGATGCTCTGGAAATGGGTGTGGCAGCGTTAAGCTAAAACAAATTGTGGCTGTTATAGTTTATTGCTTGAAGTTTGTATCTTAACCTTTTTGCTATCCAGGCTGAGTACTGTATCCAAATATTGACAAAATCTTGAGAGTTCAAGATGGACCTGTGTGATCTAGTTATGGAATTTCTTAATTGTATTTTGGAAAGTCACTGTAACCTAGTACAACATCCATAGTTGACAATGGCTTTATCAAAATGAACAAATTACTACTACATGCATTTTTAAATGTTCTCCTAGCATTCTTCATCGGGCTAATCATTACAGAAGACAGGGAATGGAGGACGAAATGAAGATATTACCCAAATTAGGCTGAGTTCAGTTAGTATTATCAACACATCATCCTAGCTAGATGATGACAAATCTCTGAATGGGTTATAACTCAAGGATATTCTTATAGATTAGGATTAGGCCAAGGGCCCATCTAGTCCAGTTTCCTGTATTTCACAGTGGCCCCACTAGATGCCTCTGGGAGCACATGACACAACTAGATACCTGTCTCCTGTATGCATGTGTGGCATGTTTCAGCTTTTTTTTTGTGCTTAGTGACTTTCATACCATAGCTTCATTAATCTTTGCAAGGATCTCCACAGAGAGAAATTGTATTTTTGTGAGAATGCTGGGAACTATATTAAGAGACCCCAATGTTCCCATGTTCCCTGGTGGTAACAGTGGCTTAAGCCTTGTCCTCTCCCATTTAATTCCTGTTGTTGCTATTGTTTTCTGGAGCCAGTTGCTGAATGAGGAATACAAGTATTCCTATTGGTATTAGGAAGGAAAATATATAGAAGATACTGGGTTGCATAGATCCTTGAGAAACCACTGCAGTAAATTTATGGGTTGTTATTGTAATGTGCTTGCTTACCACAGTTTGCAGTCCTCAGGTGGCTTAAAAGAAACACTGTGATAAAACTGGAGAGGACCAGTGATTCAGTAGATATGCGGTGGACTAAACACAGCTGAAATGATAAAGGAACTCCATGTGGGTGTTGTAGCCCTTCCCCCTGTGCTCTTGAGCTGAGTATGCTGCAAAGTTTCTCCCTTCCCTCAATAAGCATTATGGGGACTGATCCTCCTTAGGTCGCTACACACAGCATTTCTCCCACTCAGTTTGCATACTAAAATGCCATAGATATGAATAATAAAAGCATGTCTATAGTGTACATCCATCTACTATTTGAGGCTGAAAGGGAGCATCAAAGCACAGATAACTCAATTTCCTGCCAGAGACCCTTTTGATGTATGGCAGAGGTTTTTGTAATGTTTCCTTAATGGAATTGACAGAGGGCAGGAGGATATGCCTTTCAACATGGAATTGAAGCAACTGGGTTCCCTTATCAAGAGAAGAGAGAAACAACATCTATGTCCTTTATTCCAACAGTTCAAGGAACACCATCTAAAATCTATTTGCAGAAGAGATTATATTTGCCTGTGTGATCTATTTTAAGTAGTAGAGATTTGCACATTTGCATGTATTTCTTTAAACCCATGTTTCCTGCATGGCTTTGTGTTCTGTACAGCTCTTCATTAAACAATGTCTGTTCAGTCGTACATGAGTGATTATGATTACATCACAACTCTGATGAATGATGGTCCCTCAAAAATCCAAGTGTTTCCAGGTACGTAGACTAGTTGTTTTCAAATATTTCCTTAAAGGGCTGGCCAAGATACCCCAAGAAATTCAAAAGCTTGCCTGGTAGGTGAATTTCACTGCAATTAATACCTAGGATGTCTGCGATCTAGGATATACTCCCTTAGGACAGGAGGTTTGACTAAATCTCCTACCCATACTATAGAAACAACAGCTTTTATGTGTTGTTGGGAACTTAGTTCATGCAGGCAAGGGTTGGTAACCTTGGATTGCTTCTGTATGGTAGATACTTCTTCAAACTGGGGAAGGGTGTACAGTCAATTGCTTCTATATGGAAAGTCACCTACTGTGCTAGCATAGCATAACAGGGAAAATACTGGGCTGGAATCTGTTCTCTACCCCATCTATTTTTTTAAAAAATAATGTCCAGGGAGTCCTTTTTGTAAAAAACAAACTCTCAACCATATAATCCACTGCCTGGTTTGCTGTTTGTGTGAACAAGGCTTGAATAGCATTGGTTTTCATGACTCATTCTGCCATATAGGGATCAGAGCCTTTTTCTTTTGCAATGCCACGTGGTGTGGAACAAAAATTCAGAGTGTTGTGCATCCAGGTGCTTTGATGGCTGGTGGAAATGTAATGGGATAAATATACCTGACTACCCTGCCCAGGGCAAATGTGACATTTCTATGATTTTGGAGTAGCCAAAGAGAAGAATTTGGGTAAGTCGTCTCCAATATCTACATGATTTCCTTGCCAGCACGAGTGACTGTTCTTTGCCATCCTTGTTTCTGGAATTTGAGAATTTATTCCATGGAGAATAACCAATTGCTGTCACTCTTCCACTGGGGCCATGCCTGATCCCAGTCTGTTTTTTGTGACTGATAGGGAGGTTGCAGCTCTAGAACAGGACGCAGTATGTGCGCAAACACTTTTTCTCTTGTCACTGAAGCTGGGTGTTCTGGCGGGGGGGAGTTTGTGTATTTTCCAAATATGTTTCTGAGAGTTTGGTTTGTTTCTATATTACTGCTCTGATCATGAATGCCAATCGCTGGTGTGAGCATGGGCCAAATGGCTCATGTTTAGGAAATCCTTATTAATATGGATCATGTACATCTTCTAGATATCTTGTATTATCTCTGCCATTTGCACAAATAATGTCAGCCCTCAGATATATTGACATTAAGAGAAAACTTGTAAAAATGATTAGCTTTGTTTGCAGCAGCTGGTGAAAGATGCAAATTTGGCCAGACTTCATTGGCAAGCAATGTGTTTTGCATATTGTATATATCCCCATGAAAAGTGGTGTGGATTCATGCAAAAAATGAAGATGAAAATGAATACATTGATTCTGTGAGCGCTGAAAGTAAAGTATCCCTGGTTTTTTGTTTTTTTTTTAAATTGGGCCATTCATTTGTAGTCCTTTAGTCTCTGAAATAGGGTTCAGGAGAAAGTTTTCTTTTCAGCTTTTTGAAGATAAAGCCAGGAAGAGGAAAGATCAAGCTCCTATAAACTCCTGTTCTGAAGAGTAGTAAACCTTGATTCATGCTTAAAACCTTTTGCAAGTCAGAATAGTTGTATTTAGTTATAATTTTGGCCACTTCCATTCCTGAACTGTGTACACTTTGCATACTGCTTTTGCTGGTTCTGATGAAAAGAAAAGACAAAAAGAAGTTCCGATAAATTACTACTCTTGCTGTGTGTATTCAGGACCAGACTGAGTCCCTGATGAACTCGGACCATTTAACACAATCAGATGATGGAGAAATTTGAAAGGAAAAGGATATGGACACTGACTATTGGTCTACAACCTGATTGTAAACGGCAGCAAAGTCCCTGCAGTTTCATTTAAGAGTAGCAGAGAAAGACAAGCAGTAAAAATGTAAGACTGGTTCCCTTTTTAAAGATTGGACAGAACAGTGTGTTCCAAGATTAATAATAATAGAATACCTTCAAGTCAATTCTAATGGCAAACCCTCGTACTATTTTCTGCATTGTGAGTAGTACTCAGAAGTGGTTTGGTATTCCCTTCTTCTGGTGATGTTCTGAGACTGTGCAGCTTGCCTAAGACTTAATAGGCTCGCCCAGCACCTAGGAGGCACAGTCACAGGCTGTAGCAGAGATTGGAAATGAGTCCAAATCATATGAAACCCAGTTTTCCTAAAAGAATATTTTCTTGTAGTGTTTTTCAAATATTTGTATCTGAAGGGATTGTTTCAACGCTGGAATGATATGGTCTGCAACTGGAAGCTTAACAAGTTTCATTTTAAATGTCCTGCCTCAGAGTTTGGAAATTTCCTTTTACAAAGGTTGAATTTAATGTATGTTAAGGTTATCCACAACTGAGCAGGATAAGATGATGCTCTGGGATCCAGTATATTCCTGTCACAGGACTTCAGTCTGTCATTATATTTGTAATTCAGATGCCTTCCAAATTCTTCCTCCCACTACCCTCTCTCTGTGGTTCATGTTTACCCTAATTTTGATTCACATTTTTGTATGTGACTCTGCTTATCAGTTGATCAGTACTGTGATATGCAAACCTTGCTCAAAGCTGGTAAAGCTATTATTAGAGATGGGGAAGTGGCCCATCTACTCAAGCATCCTGGCGCTGCCAAGGTCCCACTCTTCCCATCAATTGTGGCAGTAGCTCTGCCATCTCTCTGCTTGGCTGGCCACTCAGCAGCCATGAGGAGAGACTCAGCCTCCCACCCCCAAGCAGGGAGACGGCAGAGCTCCTGCCACAATTGGTGGGAAGAGCAGGATGCTGGCGGTGCCAGGAGGCATGAGTGGACAGGCTGTTTCCAGCGGCCAGACCCACATTAGCTGCAGCTGGGACGGGGACATCCTCATTTCTTGCTATTATATCATGTGGAAGATATTAAGGGTGTAACCTTTGATAAGACTACCAGCTTCCTATTTAACTTAGAAGTGTGTGTTTCTATTGTACATCTCATGAGATCCCTGATCGTTACAACAATAACAGAAATTATTTGCAGTATATAAGTGGTATCTTGCCACACTTTCTGTTACTCTAATGGTTTTCCTAAGAGCTCACTGAAGCTATAGTCAAACTTCTGGGCAAACGTATTGTGAAGGAGGAAATAAAATCCCCAAGTTACCTGGGCACTCCTACCCAAGTGCGTATTTTTCCTTGTATTTATATATTACCGTTTGTTTTTGCTAGGTAAATATTGTCTTTGAGGGTTGCTTTCGAGACCTGGCAGTGACCAGCTGGGGAAGTTAAGGCCATTGAATTAGACAATGCTGCGTAGCTCTCCTGTAAAACCAGTCCCTGAAGAGTTACCTTCCTTGAAATACAACTCCCAGAAGACCTCAGCATAGGCCCTGGGAGACTCTTGAGTTATAGTCAAAAAAGTAACTTTTCTAACCACTAGGTGAACCCATTGAGGAGCTGCTGTGTGGTTGTTACATTTTTGTGGTAAGGTGACCAAGGGTGACTTTGCCTTGGCTAGCCCTTCTGACCCCGGCGTTTTTCAGAGTGGACAATCTGTTGACATTTCCAACAGAGAGAGCATGAGACTAGGGGCTGCTTCATTTCTGAGCTAGAAGGAAAGCACTAAAAAGTGAGGGCATGCCATTGGGCAATTATAGGACATTGTGAAACAGGGATTGTTGCAATTAACTATCAAAACTACTCCAGGAATATGTGCAAAAAATATTTTTGCAAGGGGCAAAGACAATTAATTCATTGTAAAACCAAGCAAAACTGGTACACATATTCTTCCCACTTCCTTGTTCCTGTGCTGGTTTCTCACACGGGATCACATCATGTAATTCTGTCAGTGCCAGCCAAGCAAAAAAGGGTGCAGCAGCTTGTTCTGCCTATGTGAAAGATGAGATTTCGAGAGTGTTACCTTATGCATGTAAATTCAGTCCTGCTGAATTCAGTGGGGCTTACCCAAAGATCAGTGACAGAGGACTGATTGCACGTGGATTATTCTAGGCCTAGGGGAGGAATTGCTCCTAGTGACATAAAAGGCATTGTTAGAACACAGCCTAATGCCAAATGGGTGAATATTTTAGGAACAATAGGAAATCAGCCCAGAGGTCCCTTTACTTCAAGGGACTGCTTACTAACTAGGCAAACAAGTAATTGGAGAAGAGGACACTGAGCAGGAAGAGTCAAGGCCCTGGGTACCCAACACCTGCCACACTGTAAGTTCCTACCAATCCAACAAGCACGTGTTGCTGTGCACATGCATTAGCTGACCACAGGGCAAGCTCTACCCCTGAAGCAGAATGAAACCACCTGCTGCACTGGCAGTTGCTGGGGGTGGCCTCCCAGCTGTTTCCTAGTCTTGGGTATCCTAAACCAGGTTGGTGTTATGGAGGGCACTATTTCACTGCAAGTTCTCAGGCAAGATGTCACTTGGCATGCCAGCCAGTTTCTTTATATGGGATGAAGGGGTGAGGTGCCACCTTATTCTTTGCTTAGGCAGCTGGATGACTTTGACTGGCAGTGATTCATCATGGCTCCATTTTGAATATACAAATCGCTGCATATGGTGCATTTTCAATAATTGCTCTGAATGGCCCAGCACACTTAGAACTGCTCTAGGGTAGTTATGAGAATTAAAAATATACTGGGGAAGCCTTTAGAAACAAGGAGGAGGTTTAATGGCTTTCTTTCTTTCTTTCTTTCTTTCTTTCTTTCTTTCTTTCTTTCTTTCTTTCTTTCTTTCTTTCTTTCTTTCTTTCTTTCTTTCTTTCTTTCTGAAAACCCATTAGATTCCTTTCACATACTGTATATTGATTCAAAGATTTCCATGTCTGGTGGTAATTTGCCAATACCACCGTTTGGAGAAAGGACTCTGCATCCATCAGTGTACTTTTTCTGTATTTCTGTCCAAATGTGACTGATAATGTTTGCATATATAGAACAGAGCCAGCTGGATAGCTTAGTGACACACACACGCGCGCGCGCACGCACGCACGCAGAGCCGGCTGGATAGCTTAGTGACACGCACGCGCACGCGCGCACACACACACACACACACACACATA